TGGTGGAATTGGGGATGCTACTGAACAGGGAGGCATGACTAAGTGGGGTGCTACCTGGGAAGAAATAGAGTGAGAGTTGGTTTCAAGGGTACAGGTTGAGGCCAGCATGTGAAGGATCTCCAGGGCCAGGCTCCAAGTTGCTAGGGGCTCTAGAAACCCCTGTTGGCAGAGGTACTATACCCGCCCGCTGCCAGCGCCTGAGATCCCTCGCTGGGGCGTGCTGTGCCCACTCATGGCTCCTTTCTGCTGCGTGGGAGGACACTCTGTGAGTCATTCACATTGGAGTGTGAATTAGCCCATCAAATCCAAGGGACCCCAACGGTGCACAAGCCCATAATAGCACCTGCTTCGTGGGCCGCAGGAGGTGTCGTGCCGCAGTGAAGGCCCTGATGTGGTAGGCGGGTGGAGGGTCTTGGTGCACGCTCTGTGTTACCATCCCAGTGTCCCTGGAGCATGTAGCCCTGTGTGCCTCTGTCACTCTTTGAACATGTGAAGTTCGGGTACCCACTGCACAGCGTGACCATGAGCTATCTGGGTGGCCAGGAGGGTGTTCACCCAGGGTGCGGGCCAGCCCCTGCTGGGCAGTCCCTCTTCTGAGGCTTTGCTGGGCACCTAGGTGCTGGCTGAGTGGCTGCTGAGGCTGACTGCTTAGCCTGGGCTATGCAGGAGGTGCAGGAGCTACCTTGGAGCTGTGTGAGAGAGAGGTCAGCTGAGAATGTCCTCTGAGCCACCACACCTGGGACAGGGGGCCAAGGTGGTGGGCCTGTCTGAGAGCTGAAGGTAATTGAGGTGAGGGTCTGCAACTGGGGCGAGGGCTCTGGCTACTGCTGGAAGTAGAGAGGGCTACAGGTCATCACGGTGCAGGGATCAGTGATCTCTGGTCTCAGTGGGGCCCAAGAAAAGTGGGAGAGCCCAGCCAGGGAGGTTGGGGTCTGGAGCAGCAAGGAGAAAGGGCTGTGGCTTACTGGGGGCAGCTGTGGCGTGGGGGTAGAGAAAGCACAGGGGCTTGGCTTTGCTGTGGCGGGTGCAGGTTGGTAGCGCTGGAGAGGGTTCGTGCTGGCTCCTGTCCCCTCCCTGCCCATCTGTGCATTCCTGGTGAGCACCTGCTCCCTGGTGAGCACCCTGCAGCTCTGTTTTCAGAGATAGAAAGGCTAGGACAGGAAGTTAGCCCTTGGGTTTGCCTGCCTGGAAGCTGTTGGAGACCTGGGCAGTGGGGGGCACATGCTAAGGTCCTCATGGTCCAGGTTACCTGTGGCCTACAACGCAGTGGGCAGTGCCTGGACTCATCCTGGGAGCCCTGTCTGAGGCAGGGGAGGTGCAGCTTTGCTCTGGAGCCCTGCTGAGGGTCACATGTCCCTACTCAGGCAGGAAAGGCCTCCTGCTATGATCGCAGTCTTTGCTGTCCTGGTCCTGGGAGGTGTCACGGCCCCCAGCTTCTCTTGTCCTGGACCCATTGCAGGGAAGCAGTGTGACTGTCCCAGATTCCTGAGGCCCGGGCTCAGGAGGCGGGGACCTGGCTCCATGACCCAGATCTTCTGAGTTCTGTAGCTCAGACAAGAGGTGGCAACAGTCTCCCACGTGTGGAAGCAGTGGCTGTGTGCGTGAGGAGGAAATGACCTGTGTCGCAGGAATGGGAACAGGTGCCTCTGCAGTGGATTTCAGTCAGACTTGGGCGAGAGCTGGCAGATGTTGCGACTCAGGATCTGGACAAGAGGATGCTCCCTAGGGCTCTTGTGGAAAGCAGGCGAGCTGGGGGCTTCCAGCCTTCTGCAGGTGGGGGTGTGTGTCAGCTACACAGGAGGGTCCTCGGGCACCGCCCTAACCAGAATCAGTCCTCCCCCAAGGTCCAGCACTGTCAGGAAGGCCCTCCTAACTCCTGAGAAACTGTCCTTGACCACGTTCTCTTCAGGGCTCGGATTGCCTGGAGACAGGTCACTTGTTTCTGGATTCCTGGATGCCCTTGAGGGTCCCTGTGCTTACTCCAGTGCTGTTGTTGCCCAGCCATGGGGGAGGTGGGTGGATGAAAGCTAGAACGGAGGCCTTGCTTCATGCCTCTGGGCAACCAGCACCTCGCAAAGCCTTGGTTTCTTGATTTACAAAGCTGATTTGAGGGTTGTTACAGAAGCCAAACGATGAACTGTACAGGAAGCCTTAGCCTAGGATGGAAGCTTTTATTACAGGGGTGTAGAGAAGGGTGAGGAGAGGTCCTTACCCATTGGGCTGCGTGGTAGGGGGCTGAGGGTGCTCCTGAGTACAAGCTACCAGCCCTGCTGGAGGGGTGGAGGACTGAAGCTGGAGCATCTATGTGGTTAGTCTTCAGGATCCATGTGGGTCTCAATGCCCACACTCAGGTGCCCCTCACCAAAGTCCAGGCAACTTTTAGGATGGCCAGCTCCTGAGCACCACACAGACCAGAGGCAGGCACCTTGTCTCCCCTGGCACAACCCCTCAACAGCTTAGTAGCCCCTCACCCTCCCCTGCCTCCAGAAGGCTAATAAGCTAGTTGATACCACAGCAAGGGCCCCAAGGCCAGCCACCAGCTCTTAGGCTGGCCTTTCTCCCAGGCGGTGGCCAGTAGTGCCAGCATGGCGCCCTACAGACCCACCATTGTAGCTGGGAATCGGCCAGGCTGCTGGCTCTACGCCTGGCCTGAGCCCTTCAGAACACAGATTTGAACTCAGTGCCAGGTACACCAGTATGCAGGACTTTCCTGGAACTTTGGCATTTTTGGGGTCTCTTGGTCAAGCTAAACTGCCCATTCTTATGTGATCTGAGATTTACAGGCATGGGATTCCCACCATGGCACCCCAGGTGCAAGGAGGGTTGGAATCATCCAAGGCTTGGAGGCTTCTGCCCTGAAGGGGAAAGAGGATGAAGGAAGAGGGTGAAAGGGTCATGCCTGGCACATCTGAGTGTGACCTTGTAAAACCTCTGGTAGGGAGAAAGATCCAGGATGTCAATCAGACTCCAAGAATTTCCACGGAAACCCTACTCTCCCTCCCTGTCCCTTGGTACCTCCAGATCTGTTTATCCTGTGGTCAGCAGGACCTACATAATGAAGAAGGTCTTCTTTGACTTTGGGGGGCATCGAATGCTAAGGACCAAGAGTGACAGTCTAGGAGTGGGGGCCTCCATCCCAGTGCCTGGAGTCTGGGAGTGTGGTCACTGCCTTGAATGTCTTTGGGGTCTATGTGGTTGAGAAAGGCCGAGGCCAGAAAGCTCAGATAAAGAGAGGTGTGTGTAGGAGATGAGCTTACACTTCTAAAGCCTCCTGTGTATCTTTCTCTGGGAAGAGAGGCTCTTGAGGAACTCTAGGCTCTAAGCCCTGTCTTAGCCTCACACTGCATTTCAGGGTGAGCAGACGGGCTGAAACAGACGGGTGCTTCTGGGCCACAACGTCCAAAGCCAGCCCTACATTAAGTTCTGGCCCTTCTGCTTTGGCCTTGTCTGGGATGCAGGGTCATGGTGCTTCTTTCTAGAGCAAGTCCTTCCAAAGGGGGTTGGGATGGCTCAGTGAAAACCAGATACTAATGGCAGTGTCAGGCTCCACCTGCTACTTTCCTGCTCAGAGCAGATCCCCTCTCCAGGGGCCAAAATCACAGTACAACCTGTTGATGCCTCCTTCGGGCTGCTGAGAGCAAAGTGGAGAAAGCTCCCTGCAGCCTCGGGAATTTGCTGTGTGTTTGTAGGCGCCAGGGAACACTCCACCCTCCCCCTCCCCCCTTTAGAAGTAAGCTGAAGCCAGGGGATCTAGGTAGCTTTCTAAGGTCACAGAGCTAGGCTGCAGCTGAGGTATGGCTGAAATCAGGCTAGGGACAAAGCAGAGGAGCAGAGGAGCCTGGGGTGGGGGCAGGGGTCAAGGGGCTGGGAGGGGCTGGATAGATTGCCAGTCCACACTGCAAATGCAAGGTCTTTTGCACTTCGAAGTTGCCCCTGGTCAGCTTAGGTTGGAACCACAGCTCGCGGTCTCTGGGGCCAGCTATGAAAGACTTGGTGTAAAGGAGACCCTAGGCTCGTGACCTGCAGGCTTGGGGCAGGTGCTGAGTTCTAGTGCCTTAGGGAGGAGTGAGGGCTTGCTGGCTCTGGGTTCAGAAGACCATCACTCCCAGCTGTGGCTCCTGCAGGGTCCCCAAGGTGCACCTCTCTATCTCCACCTCGGGGTCCCCTGGGGTCCAGATGCGACTGCCCAGAGAGGCCCTCCGTGGGCACTGTCTGCAAGAGCCAGGGCCAGAGGCAAGAACGCTGGCCAGCTCTGGAGAAGGCTGCCAGGAATCTGGGGGATGAGGCTCAGGAGCAAGGCGGCAGCAGTAGGAGGAGGAGTGCTTTGCCCAGCCGCTCAGTTCGTGGCGCACCAAGAAGCAGCAAGTCCTTTTCCTGAAATGAGAACGGGGCAGTGTCAGACAGCAGGAGGGGCCTGGGTCAGGCCTCAGAGCGAAGTTTCCGGCCGGTGGAGGGCCGCCTCGCCGCGGGGATGGCTGTGTCTGTTCTCGAGAGGAGCTGCAGACAACGGGGGCGACAGGCTTGGGGGAAGTGGATGCGGGAGATGGAGTAGTCCCAAGGTCACCAGCTCCCGCGGTCGCCCCGGGCAGGGGGGCTGGGCGTTCTGCAGTGGTCCCTCGCCCGCCGGCCCCTAGGTACGCAGCACCCCAGCGTTGCACGTGCGCCCTGCGCCCTTGCGGTCGCCCCCTCTCTCCGGGTCGCCCCTCCCGCGGGCGGGGCGTCCGGGCACGGGGCCAACCCCGCCCTCCGCTCTGCGCCCGCGCCCCGCGCTCCCGC